GGTAAGGAATTGTCACTTAGTTAAGGATGCTATCCAAGGGAATAAAAACATATACATAGCCAAAAAATGGGTACTCATAAGAAGCAGATAATATATATTGTAGATAAGAATTAATATATTTCAATGCCTTTAATATAACACATGGTATATTTTAACAACTGTGACTTTAAATATAGTGCTGGCCCCGCTCGCGCCGGTCGACCGGTCCGACCGGCAGAAGCGGCTGTTTCTGAAGCCTGAGTCTCCGACAGCGACGGTCGCCGCGGCGACGCCGACGACGCCGCGTCTGACGCGTCACGGGAAGAGCCGCAGCTTCGACTCGGGCGTCGTCGACGGCGCGGATGCGGTCGTCATGGAGACGGTTGCCGTGGAGACGGTTGTCGCGGAGACGGCGTCAGCGGCAGGGACCGGTGCGGCGCGGCGTGAGGCTGCTCGGAGCATCGGCAAGGAGGTGTCGTCGTCGCGGCGACGCGTCCATGATGACCTCGCGTCACTGCGCAAGGTGCAGGATGTTATACAACAGGTAGCGCCACCGTAGCGCGGCGACATTGTGCGTAGGCAACGTTGTCGCATGTTTTACTTCATGATTTGGGCTACGTTTTACTTGTTTTTACTGTAAGTATTATTGTATCCCCCGCGACGAAGTCGGCGGGGATACTATGGTTTCATGTCTGTCCAGCTCTTTCCCTTCCGCTCTATAACTCGATCCCTAATTGCCCTAGCATGACCAAACATAGTCTACTTACACATCTTGGGGAGAAGGTGCGCAGCATACCAAAACCAGGTCACTACGACCTTTATTTGACCTTTACCTTGACCTTGATCATATTTCCCTTCCGCTCTATAACTCGGCCCCTAATTGACCTAACCCTACCAAACTTGGTATACTTACACATCTTGTGGAGAAGGTGTGTCGCGTACCAAAACCAGGTCACTGGGACCTTTATTTGACCTTGACATTGACCTTGATCTTATTTCCCTTCTGCTCTATAACTTGGCCCCTAATTGACCTAGCGCTACCAAACTTGGTATACTTACACATCTTGGGGAGAAGGTGTGTCGCGTACCAAAACCAGGTCACTGGGACCTTTATTTGACCTTGACATTGACCTTGATCATATTTCCCTTCTGCTCTATAACTCGGCCCCTAATTTACCTAGCGCAACCAAACTTGGTATACTTACACATCTTGGGGAGAATGTGTGTCGCGTACCAAAACCACGTCACTGCAGCTTTTATTTGACCTTGACCTTAATCATATTTCCCTTCCGCTCTATAACTCGGCCCCTAATTGACCTAGCGCAACCAAACTTGGTATACTTACACATCTTGGGGAGAAGGTGTGTCGCGTACTGAAACCCCTAAAGCAACCAATTTTAACATACTTGCACATCTCAGGCAGATGAGTTTTGTCTTTGTGACTTATTTAACTTTTCTTACCTTCTACGTCCTTGCAGAGATATTTCATTCATACTAGATCATGGGGAATACATGTGGTTGGTGACAACTGTCCTTTCTAGTTTCTCGTTATCGTTATCTTTGCCATCATCATCATTATCATCTTCATCTTAATCATCTTCGTCACCATTGTCCTCCACCATCGTCATCATCATTATCATGATTGTCATCACTTGTCATCCTCATCATGAACATCGTTATCATCGTTATTATAATTGCTCTTATAATTGCCATCATCATTATTAGATAAGATCGTCGATTTAGTTTATCGCAATTTCTACGATTGTCTGTGCGTTCTCATAGAATGCCGTGGAGACGGAGGCGGCGAAGCTTCTGCGATCCTGTGATAAGTTTATAGAGGGCGTTCACTCTGCTCCGCCGTCACCCGCTCACCGCCACCAGGACAACAAGAACGAGGTGAGAGACTCTGGTGCCAGTTAGCGTGTGCTGTCGTCTCAAATACCCGTGCACTTATGCACTTTATGCATAGTTTATACGTGAATTTTGATATGAACGTTTTACATTTTACACGTAGTTTATGTATCTATATTACATATAATCAGAAGTAGATAATAGGGACTTCTGTTTTACTTAAAATTTATATGTGATAATTTACATGTAATTTATACATGTAGTTTACATGTATTTTACACGCAATTTATACATGTTTTACATGTATTGTACATGTAATTACCTCTGCCAGGGGCTTGGCGGAGGTTATGTTTTCACCGGCGTGTGTTTGAGTGTTAGTTTGTGGGTTTGTGGGTTTGTGTACGCTCGCTGATTGGCTGATTGGCCCGCCGCCGCCGCCGCCGCGCCGGAACCGCCTGTATCATACAGGTTAAGCCTAACTGAAAAAGTTATGGACGGATTGTCATAAAATTTTCAGGATACGTCAGAAATGGGCTAACTTAGAATTGATGAGATTTTGGTGGTGATCCGGATCCAATTAATTAATTCATAAAATTTTTAGGATAGGTCAGAAATTGGGTAACTTAGAATTGATTACATTTTGGTGGTGATCCGGATCCAATTAATTAATTAACTAATTAATTAATTAATAAAATTTCCAGGATAGGTCAGAAATGGGGTAACTTAGAATTGATTACATTTTGGTGGTGATCCGGATCCAATTAATTAATTAACTAATTAATAAATTAATAAAATTTCCAGGATAGGTCAGAAATGGGGTAACTTAGAATTGATTACATTTTGGTGGTGATCCGGATCCAATTCATTCATTCATTCATTCATTCATTCAATAATAAAATTCTCAGGATAGGTCAGAAATGGGGTAACTTAGAATTGATTACATTTTGGTGGTGATCCGGATCCAATTCATTCATTCATTCATTCATTCATTCAATAATAAAATTCTCAGGATAGGTCAGAAATGGGGTAACTTAGAATTGATTACATTT